AGAGAGAGAGAGAGAGAGAGAGAGAGAGAGAGAGAGAGAGCGCTGACTCATACGGCATGAACAGTTATCAGTTTTAATCCATAGAGGTCGCTATTATCATTGTTCCAAGAGACATAAAACTTAATAAAGTGACATCCTGTTGTGATTCATATTGACAAGAATTCAAACGGAATTTCTAAATAAACAGGTGTTCCAAAATTACTCATGCAGCTGCATTTAGCTTATTTCTCTACACTCTTATAAAACGCAAACTGCTTTGAGAAGCATGCTGAACAAAATTATAATCACTTTCTGAAAACAATGTAATGGGCATAATTTTTTCAGAAGGGTTTTGATCTGTTTGAACAACAGATGGACTTCACTGTTTGCCTAGTTAATGGAGGCTGTTTTATATCTCCGATCAATGGTAGTCAAGATCTGGTTATTATACAGGGAATAGGAGGATATAAAATACAATGAACAGCATGCTTATATAAATTCCTACTCACCAAAAGAATTAAACATTAAACATGACTACCAATTTACATTTCAACAATGTAAATATTGAGGAAGGAGGATATACTGTATATGAGCAAAGTACACATAAAAAAATAAAATAAAATATATAAAAACAAAAATATTTTTTACATTTTATATATTTTATTTTATTATTTTATATTTATTTGTTTTTCATATAGAGCAGTATGACTATTTTAAAACCAAAATTATAAAAAGAATAAAATGTTATAGAAAATGTTATATACATACATACATAACCATAACCATACATACTTAACCATATTTTGAGGACAAATTTGTACCCAAAAGTGAGCTAAACCTGACAAAATCTCCAAAAACCTCCCTTTGGGGACGTCCTCATTTGTAAAACTGGTATAAAAATAAAGTAAACAACGTTTTTTAAAATTGTAAAAATGCAGAAAGTTTCCTGTACGGGGTAGGTTTAGTAGGGCGATAGAAAATACAGTTTGTACAGTATAAAAACCAGCTAAGTATAGCTAAGTAAAGTGTGTGTGTGTGTGTGTGTGTGTACTGGTTTATATATACTGGTGGAAACTTAAACCTGACTACACATAGACTCATGGGGACTCGTGTCACGGTGGGGACCTAAATTGTGGTCCCCACGGGTACAAAAGCTTATAAATCATACAGAATTAAGTTTTTTGAAAATCTAAAAATGCAGAAAGTTTCCTGCGAGGGGTAGGTTTAGGTGTAGGGTTGGTGTAGGGCAATAGAATATACGCAGGGCCGCATTAAGACCTCAATGGGCCCCGGGGCTATGACTTACTGCAGGTAAGTTGCTACGGCAATTGTTATTTTGCATTTTTAATGCAATTTTGTTTAAAAAAAAAAAATAATAAAAATTTGGCTGGCCAATCAAATAATGGGCTAAGAAAGCCATTAAATTTAATTTCTTTGAAATTATGGATTTCAAACAATTTACAGAAAATGTGCATACTGTGCAGACTTTGCATACTACATACTCCTGCAATAATAACTGTATTCTAATCCAAACAAGTTAACAGGAACAGCAGCTCTTTCAGTCTTGACATGGCACTGATTTGCTTTACTGTTAAATTTAAGATGATGTTTGACGTTTGAAGGATCAAAGGAGGTGAGATATTTTATGTAACTCCCATTATAACTGCATTGAGGATGCATTCAGACAGGTAAGTCTCACACAGTGTTGACTATTAAAGAAAAAGGTAAAATGCACACACATGGGAAAAATCAGCATGCATTCATAGCTTGTTGGACTAAGACTTTGATTGGATAAAAAGTTCTAAATTAGAAATAAACCATAATAAGTAATAATTCTACATGAGTCTGAAATCAATTTGCTGGAATCCAAAGTAACAAACTGTCTATAAAGGATATGTGTTGCAGTCAAAACTAGACCAGTCCCATTATAATCAATAGCACTGTCTGCACTGGAAGCGTCTGTTGTGTCACGTCGCTCTTTCATTTGATGGACACATGCAGTTGGCCCATTTCTATTTTTGATGCACTGCAGAACTACTTTAGAAATTTGATTTTCTCAAAGTCTGATACAAAATTGACTTACAAATATCACACATTTTTACTATTAATTTTATGCATAGCCAGCTTGTACTCTTACAATAAAATATTTATAATTTTATTTATGCTTTCTTGTTTCTAACCATATGCACAAGCTGTAGAAATGCCAGTTGGATTTTCATTGAAAAAAAAAACTGGATAGCAATTTTATTGATCATGTCTTGCATCAAACTATATTCCACCCCTCTCCCGAATCCCAATCTCCTCATGCTAATGTATAATAGAACTGATACTCTGTTCTGAGCCTCATAAGAAATCCTACCAAATCACTTTATGATGCATACATATGACAATACTATCTGGATTTATTTCTTGTATGTATTAATAATATTGCTGTTAAAAAGTTTGGGGTTGGAAATGTTGCATTTGATCAAAAACAATACTACTGTAAAATATTACTGCAAATTTAAGTTAACAATTTTTCTTTTACATATATATTAAAATGTAATTTATTTCTGTGATCAAAGCTGAATTTCCAGCATCATTACTCCAGTCTACGGTGTCACATGATCCTTCAGAAATCATTCTAATATGCTGATTTGCTGCTCAAATATTTCTTATATTATCAGTGTTGAAAATACTGTGTATACAGCGCTGTCCTTTGAGATATTTTACTGGAAACTGTCATTTTCTTTCCTAGAACAAAGTATTTGAAAAGTATCTTTCCTAGAACCGGTATTTGAAATGGAAACCTTTTGTAACACTATAATTATCTTTACTGTAGATGTTCACATATTCAACCCATAAGAATAAGCAACAACATGAGTAATTGTAAGATATATTGAGCATCATGAAAAGAAAACTAGTTTGGGTTTCCATGCATCCTTTATTCCTTTATATGCAGTACAATAACCACTGTGTTGCACTGAAGCAACAACCAACAGAAAGAACAATAATCTGTCTCGCGGCACATTTAAGGCTTTAAAGATATAAAAAATAAATAAAATAAAAAAACAACAAAAAGAAACCTACACACAAAAGTGTCTGTACCAACTAGGGTTTTCTCTGCATTATATTTGCATACTGTGATTCCAGTGTGAATAAAAATCAAAGCTAAATACCATTTACTTCATATTTTACATACCTATATATATATAGAGAGAGAGAGAGGGTGTACAGTACGGTTATCTTACAAACCAGCATTAAAAGAGGTGTAAATATTAATAATTACTGAAAAAACATTGTAAAAATGTCAGTATCAAAAGCAATGGCCGGCTTAGATGTGGTCAGTTTCTGCCATTCCTTAAAAAGTCTCAAAGAGCTTCATCTCCAAACAACATCATACATGAACCGCCCACTGCATAACCTTACAGCGATACAACAAGTCAAGCTAACCGACAACAACTTCTGCTATACGTTAAAAACATCCAATCAGACGATCGCACCGGTTTGGTAGCAATTCTGATCATTCTGTTGTGTAGTGCTATGGTGAAATGTCTACAAACACAGTCCTTCATTCACCGTATGGGGGAAAACATTGAATGAATAATTCATTTTCCTGGGTTTTGTGATTTGTCCGTTGTCTGGAAAAGACGATGAACGTCAAAACGATGAGGAGATGCGGTACCTTATTTATATCTAGCGAAGGTTCGGTTTTCACAGTGATTTTCCCATTAGAGTAGCAGCGAGCAGGAGCCCAGAGAAAATCTTCAAAATCCCCTTTCTGAGAAATCATTGACAGGAATGTCGGAGCGAAATGTCTGAAAACATAAGGCTTATTATAAGGTCAATGCTAAAAGCAACAGAGAGCTTAAAGTTTCACATTTTTAATACAACCCACGATTAGAACGATGTAGTGTTTGCGCCAAAACAATGCCCTGAATGCTGTGTTGCGACAAAGCAATGTGTTTCACCGCTGAAAAGACAATACGACGACTCTTCCCCACTGTATTCGAAATCACAGACAGTACGTCTTCATTATTTACGGGTCAAGTCACTTCCACAGGTCTTAATTAGCCCAAGTTACAATTATTTCGGCCGAACAGTCAGCGGCCTTTACCACACAAACGCATGTGCGTATGAACGTGCCTAAACACAAACACACACATAAACTGGCCGTGTAAAAAGTCAGTCACTGGTTGATCTTGTACTAATCAACTTGAAACAAAACGGAATGCTATGACAATTCCCGCCAAAAAAAAAAAAAGATAATCGAAAACAAAAATATAATAACCTGAAAACACCAGCACAATAAAAGTGCAGTTTAATTAACCCTTGAGTAGCATTTTTAAAAAAAACATTAGCAGAAAACCAAGAGAAAATATCAAATAGTCAAATACAACGTATTGAATGCGGTGCAAAATGTTAGCGTTTTTTCATCAAGTATAAAATAATAGTGTGGTTCGAAATCATCAAAACGCCCCGCTCCTAAACAGAGAGGGACTTCGTCTTTTTTTTTTATCAGCAAGTGCAAGTACTGATGGCGTCCTCAGCCCTGGGTAAAGGGGAACCCTACACGACACGTGTGAGTGAGTGTGTGCGCGCCTCGGCTTCAGGAGGTAGCCAGCTCGAACGTGATAAACTGTTTGAGTCTCTCGAGGTACTGAGCGTAAAGCTCGATGTCGTTGTGCCCGGCGCCCTCCACCCACAGAGGCTCCACGGCACGCGGACATCGCTCGTAGATGGCCAAACCGTGGGAGAAATCGATCACTTCGTCTTCTGTGCCGTGGATGACCAGCACTGGAGACGCCACCTTTGACACCTTGTCGATGCTGAAACACATGAAGACATGTAGAAGGTGTATTAGACAAATAATAAGTAAATCAATGCAAATGACAGATATTTTTCTGTCAAGTATCTTGCAAGTTGTGAATTTATTGTTTTTTTTTTATTGCAGCACATCATCTAATCCACTTTACAGGTGTTCTGGTCAAGCAGCGGCAAAATAAATCAAGAAAGAGACTGTCTGGCATACAAGGCAACCTTTAAACGATCAACAATAGTTTTTCTTTTAACATGCAGTTTAAGGGAAAATTTTAAATAAATAGCACAACAATAATAAACCAGGATGGAAACATGTAGATGTCATGATTACAATGCTGTGCATTAGGGATGTTAATTTTAACCGTTTAACCGACCATAAGAATTAAAATTTTTGCATAACATCACGGCGGTACTGTGATAACACTTAACGGTTTAACAGATTTTACTACATTTTTTTACTACACTACGCAAATGTTTACAAACATTATAATAAACACTGTAAACATAGCTAGGCTATTTTAGTTCCCCTCACAACAAATCCTTTCAATTAACAGTATTTAGAAAAGAACAAGACTTTAAAATATAAGAAGCTATAGCAATATAAACGACAAGCCAAAACGGATTCATTTAGGCTAAAACGAAACTGAAACCAACGTTGGGTCTCTCATTCCACACAAAATCAAACGTTTCCGTATTCGCGATGTATTTGAATGCCAAATATTATTTATGTACTTCACTCGCGTTCCAATATCCACATAAAAAACAAAATTTTTGCATAACATCACGGCGGTACTGTGATAACACTTAACGGCTTAACAGATTTTACTACATATTTTTACTACATTTTTTTTTCCCATATGTTTGACTGACTGTATTTTATTATGATAATGAACAGGCTGCATTGTCAAGGTAGCAAGCAAATTATTATTTATTATGTAGCCTACTTCACTCGCGTTCCAATATCCACGTAAAACAAAAATTTTTGCATAACATCACGGCGGTACTGTGATAACACTTAACGGCTTAACAGATTTTACTACATATTTTTACTACATTTTTTTTTCCCATATGTTTGACTGACTGTATTTTATTATGATAATGAACAGGCTGCATTGTCAAGGTAGCAATGCTTAACTGTGTGCGAATGCGGCGCCGGCGCAATCACTTGAGTTGTTTCCTTCTAACAGTGGAAGAAACTACTCCTTTTAGTCCTAAAGATAATCGGAATTGTAAAAGGTTTGCCTTTATTTGTGTACATTCACAATAAAAACAAATCTTTGTGCTTGACCATGTGAATCCTCATGTTCTGTTGTTTGCTGCTTGTTGCGCATGTAAAATTAATCCCCGGGAAACAAATGTTAGTATTTTTAACGGGTCACAGACACTTATCCTGTCTAATTTAATTCAATTCTAATTTAAAATAATCTTGTCGGTTAACGGTTAATAATCGGTTAACGAGCTTTGGTTGTCGGTTAGGAAAAATAACCGAAATGAACATCCCTACTGTGCATCCAAAATAATTAAGTTTTGGCTCAGTTGTTGGTACTAAAATAATGAAAGTTAATGATTCAATAATAAAAAAACAAAATTTTCATTTAAAAATCTTAATGGGGGGAGGGGAGGTTTCCCAAAAATATTATGCAACAACTCTTTTCAATATCGACAAAAATAATAGATGTTTTTTGATGACCAAATCAGCATATTATGATTTCTGAAGGATCATGTGACACTGAAGACTGGAGTAATGCACCACAGAATTGATTTAAATTTAAACTGCAATAATATTTCACAATATTTCTGTTTTCACTATTTTTTTTATCAAATAAATGGTGAACGTAAGAGACTTATTTCAAATTATTCACACTACCAAATTTTGGGGTCAGTAGTGTTTTTGAAAGAAATAAGAATTGAAATGACTACATGCTATTTGTTATGTATGCAAACATTGCTTAAAAATAAATAAATAAGATGACTAATAAGACTATCTATGTGTTAATGTATTAACACTCCATGCATCTCAAAAAGCCGTTTACACTGTACTATTACTCAGCATATTGTCAATTGTCATATAATTGCAGTAAACACAATTTCATAGGTTAATCGCTACACCAGCTCCACCCCGGCTAGTGCAGGTCTGCTAACTCACCCGTGATCCTCACAGGACAGTCCAGAGGAGAGTCAAACAGGCATGCTAATTAATTTGTCGCTCAACATGCCTAATTGTTGCTTATTTTCCTCATTGGTGCACAGGCAATCAAATTTGAGTAAGTGAGGAGATTAATGCGTGACACAAGCTGATGGAATAATTACACCGCCTATGAAGAATGATGCAGTTATCCAAACACCAACCAAATAAATATGCAGCATGAATTTCAACCCAGCACATTCCAGTGGATGACTGACAAAGTGTAGATACTGTATTTTTATCAGGCAACACACAGGGAAAAGCTTATTCTTATATATAATCTGCCAGGGAACTCTTATTAAAAAGACTGTTTTGCAGTCTTTATCCAGACTTTCCATCTTTAATTGACCGCACGCAAAGAGCTTGATTGATAGGCGATCTGACCAATCATAACATCACATTAAAGAGCCACAAAACGGTACTTATTGTTTGAATTTCTTTTTAAAAAAAAAAGACAAAATCTGAAAGCTGAGATCATGTTTCATACCAGAAGTAACCTGCTGTGTCTTGTCTGTCAGCGAAGGGTCAATTCTAAAAGAAAGTTCTGAAACTTATGAGCGAATAGTATATTTCATGAGATTTGATCGCAAAGTATAGGGATCCCATGACTAGAAGGTCTATAACACAGCACAGTAGTGTTGTCAAAAGACCCGGTACTTTGGTACCAACCGGTGCGGGTGTTTTTATATCACTGTAGTTACGGAGGAAACCGACTGTCTTCAGAAAATTATGGATGTCATTCTCATTTCATCTTGCCTGTAATGCGTTTGTGAGCACAGCGCTTATTTGATTACAGCATTTACTGGGGAAACCTCCATCTCTCCCGCTCTACAAGTGCCTCCTGCTGGCAGAGAATGAATTTGCATATATATGTTGCCACAAATAGAGTGCAAGTCTGTGGGAAACACCAATGAAATGAATGCTGTTATTAGAGTAGTTAATCGTTAGCATAAGCGCGGCTAACGCTAATATAATGAGCATTAGAATGAAGTTTCTTTATTAACTATTTAATGCTCCTATAACTGTTATTATGGTAAAAAAAAACAGGAGGACATGATGATATTTACTATTTTTACACACCAGAGGCTTTTAAATGAATTGTGAATCTAAAAAATGTGTGTTAGAGAATGTACAAATGGTTAACATTGTTTGTGTCATATCAGTCAGAAAAGCAGTTCTGGGCTTTTAAAAAAAATTAAAAATTTTTTAGCTAACTTAGTTGTTATTCTTGGCTGAATATCTCTAGAAGGCTTTCAAAATCCCTTTTAAATTAAATATGTACACAGTTTGGATTAAATGAAAGTATAGTCAAATTTTTTAATTACCATGTTTTTGTGTTTTGCTTTGGTACCGAAATTGGTACCGAGAACCGTGGATTTTCACTGGTATTGGTACCGAATACTGAAATTTTGGTACTGTGACAACACTACAGCACGGTGACTTTTTCCATACAGTACACTTGACGTTATATAATTTTCTAACAATAAAATGCATGAAACGTGTGACTTTTTTTTTTTTGCTTTTTCATTTGAAGGGTCACTTCTATGCATTCACAGGTTTCGGTTTAAAGAGATTTTTCACCCAAAAATGAAAATTCTTTCACCAAACAGTTGATGGTAGCCATTGACTGCCAACTGTTTGGTTATCAACATTCTTCTGTTGAACACAAAAGAAGATATTTTGAAGTAAGGAATTCATACAGGTTTGGAACAACTTGAAGGTAAGTAAAAGACAATTTTCATTTTTGGGTGAACTATCCCTTTAAGATCTGATTACATTCAGTGTTAACCTGCAAAAATACAGAAAATCACAGCATTGTATCTGGCGAAATCTATTCGATAGCATTCATATTTTATATACAGTATATACAGTAAACCATTTGAAATCTGCCATATTTATTCATAGACATTCTAAGCATGCATATAATTTTTTTACGCCCAAATGGTAAAAAACCACGTTAACTTGATATTTCCTACTGAAACAAAGTTTGGATGGGATTTTAGCTTTTTTATGCCAATAACCTTCAGTTATATCACTGCTGTGAGCTATGATTTGCTGCTTGCTATTGCTTGTCAGAGGCGGGTGGAACATTCATTCATTCATTAGAACATTTTATTGAACAAAAATGTGAAAACAACACTGTGAACAAGAGTCATCATCAATATTTTCAGTCTGTGAAGAGAAAAACTGTCAATTTTAAAACAGCATATCTGTTATGCTAGCATATAGACAGAGACATCCTCAATGCTAACAAACATCGACTAAAATCCACAAAACTGCATTCTGTTTCTGTGAAGCCTGTAAGAGAGCAGAATTGATTTGCGGCACTGGCTGACTTCACCTTCACCTGACTCATCTCTTTCTTATTAAAAACTGTACCACCTCAGCACACTTTTTTCCCAACCGGAATGATTCACTCTTGCCTAGTTTTGGACTTTCCATCTATTCCTGGATTTGCACCTGACATTTCACTCTTGCATTCAAGAAAGACTTCACACTGACTGGTAGTGTGGTTATGATGCTGGAATATCTGACTGATGAAATGCTTAATAAAAAATATAAATGTTTAGTACCATCGATACCATGAGGAAAAAATGCCACAACATGTTAACAAGTTAATTTACTTTTGCCCATAGTCAAACTATTTTATCAACTAAAACGGAGGGGGCATTTACATGACAAAATTTTCAACTAAAAAAAAATCTTGTGTTTTTTCCATTAATTTGCAAAACAACAGCATTTAGGGGGCCTGAAAAACTTTAGAATTTGTGTTTCGAAGTGCATGTTTTTGAAAATGTTATGATCTCCATGTAACCTACAATA